AAGTCCGCCTTTAATTGAATAATTTTTGATTACCTATTTCGAGGAATGGCACTTCAATGGGCTTCCGTTGTAACTTGAGTCTGGCGTGTTTTTCTCAGTGTACTCAACAGGGCAGCAGACATTACTCCACGTGTATTTGGCCGCAGGCTAAATGACATTAAATAACATAACAGCCCGTCAACAATGACAGCAGCAGGAGCAGAAGCAGGAGCAGGCAGGGCTTAGAGCCCTGGTGCTGTGCTGTGATTTGAAAAGCGTTTTACAATCATTTACACACTGTATCCTGTACACATCCTGGCTGTGGTAATGGCAGTGGCAGTGGCAGCAGTGCAGTGCCACAACTCGTTGCTGTGAGCTCGCATTGTTGACTTCCTGTTACGCAGTGCAATGCCCAGGATCGGAGGACCGTCACGGCCTACATAATTTGTAGGTACACTGTGCCGTGGGCCCCGAGAGCGACGACGAGCACACAATGGAGCGGGCATCAAATAACCAAACAGCGCAGTACAAAATTTTATTGTTATTCAATTGGATTCGAATTTAGCTAAAAGCGGTACAAGGGGTCTCTCTCTCTCTGGACTCCCTCTGTCCTCAGTCCTCTGTCCTCTGCCCTCTGCCCGTCTAAGTGTGTGACAATTGACGCCTTGCAAACAGGAGCTTCCGGTTGAGTCCTCCTCCGGCGTTGATACATGCTCGTAGGATCTGTAATTTGATCGGCGAAAGGCACGTAATTAGCCCGCGACTTTCCTCCGTTTGCACTTTTCAACTTTATTTGCGAGTATGGGTGCGTATCTGTGTGTGTGTGAGAGTGCGTAATACGAGTGCGATGTTATGGGAACATTGTTTGTGTGTTATTGCATTAATTTACAACAATATGGCGCGTAATGAGATGGAATTTGATTATGCCATTGTGAATGTGAATGCGAATGCGAATGGGAATGCGAATGCGAATGGGGATTGGAATTGGAATTGGAAACTAATGCCACTCCGTCCGGTAAGTGCCTGTGTGTGCTGTAATTACTTGTTAAACGGCTTAGTTTCATCTTGCAACTGCAGCATTATTTCGAGAGGCAGAAACTACATGCCATGCCCATAAAACATCCGTCGTTACACAACTGTCGGTTGATTAAAGCACCTACATCGCAAATAAAAGCAGAACGCGTCACAATAAAAAACAACGCCACGTTGATGAGCCTATTATAGTGGCGGCAGGCAGGAGGGGTGGCTTGCTGAAACAACCAAAACATCCCATCCAAAACCGCACCGAAATGGACTTGTCATAAAGATACAAAGAAACATTCGCAGAGCACACAAACCGCAACTGCTAAAAAATAAAGTCCATAAAAAAGGATCCCAGGGCTGACCATGCGAGGACAGATAAAATAAATGTGCTAAATGGATAATAAAGTACAAAGAGCGACAGGCATAATAATGTCCGAGCCAACGACACAAAAAACAGCAATTCTCGTGCGAGTGGGTGCCTTTTTAAGCGTAACTTTACTGTTGTGCCCATTGTACTTAATTGAACTGTCAGCCCAAATAGATAAACATAATGGCCGTGGAAGGGGGAGGGACACACACAGATGCCCAGTCGGTCTGCAGTCAGTCAATCCCATTTCTTTGAGTACTTAGAGGCTGCCACAAATCCTGCTCTACTGTACTCTCTCTCATTGAAATATGCTATAGGGGAGAGTGGAGAGGGGAGTGGGAGGGGAGTGGGAGGGGAGGGGGAAACTTCGAGCTAAGCTGCGCCACTTCATGCCCAAAAAGGCTGCAATTAAAATAAGTACCCAGCCGCTTGGCTTTGCCAACTGCAGCCATCGCCAGACTCCTCTGCATAACCGGAGGAGCAAAAAGTGTTACCAAAACACTCTTATATAGCCGCTGAAAGGGGCACGGGCATGTACGAGCGGTATATGGTATATAAGCACATTGTGTTCGCAAGCTAATTAAGAAATTACTGCAGGCAAAACAGCATATACCAAAAGCGCCAGAGCAACCCACCCCCCACCCCACCCAGCTGCAGTCCACCCAGGGAGGAACTCCGCCAAATTGGGCATCCACATCCACATCTACGGCACACGGGTCTCTGTTATTTGCAAAAAGCCACTTCACATATGAGAACGGAAAATGAAATTAACAAAAAGACCGAAAAAAGACCAGAAGTAAAAGGGAAAAAAGAAAAACAAAAATGAAAAGCCAATGAAAAATTTGAGAACTAAAGTCGAACAGGCAATGGGCTTTCCTCCAAAGTTGTTTCTTCTTTCAGCTAAATTAATTATTTCATGGTATTTCTCATTTGAAATCTGTGAAAACTCGAAATAAATAATTCTGTATCAAATATTTTTTGGAATACAAAACGATGCTAAGATAGGGTAATAGTGCCCCACAAACTGACTCTCAGGACTAACATACCCTCTGTGCCAAATGTACTCTGCCTGGACGAAAAAAGCGCTCTCATAAGCCAGCAGCAGTCCCCACACAAACACAAACACCCACTCACACCGCCTCCCCCCCAATCCGCCCAAACAATTCACTTTACATATGAGCAAATGTGGCCCAAAAGGACCAACAGAGAGAGTAGCTACCATTTATGAAAAGCAGCCGAAAAGCAGCCAACCAAAGTGCTCGTTGTCTGGGGAAACCTGCCCTGGAAAGCCAGCAATTTTTATAATTTTGCTACAATTTTGAGGCATTTTATGAAATGAATTGAAATATATTTCTCTCTCGTCTCTTTTTCGGGGCCAGGCCCGGGCCCGGCCCGGCCAAGAAAAGCCATCAAATCCATTCATGCGCTTAAATAAAATGCTCAAGCACTTGACTGCATCCATACAAAAATGTTGCTGCAGAGCAGACCAGGCCAGGAGCTTGGCAAAGGGGGATGCCAAATAAAAGGTTGCCTAATTTGTTCAGTTGGCTTGTACAAAAAATGACAGAAATACAAATAGGAAGCCAGCCCCGAACCCCTGCCCCTGCCCCTGCCCCCACCCCTGCCCTTTCAAACATATAACAGAGGAGGGTCAGGGACAATGAGAACTGCCCCATTGTGAGGAAATTCATTTTGGAGCCAAACCAAAAAGTGGAAAGGATTCCTCAATTGTTAGGCCTGTCTAATGCTCGAGAGCAGCTTTAGGTGAATCCCGAATGATTTGGAATTGCCAGCATTTGATTACAAGCTTCGACGATCCAGTCAATCCTTAAAGTCAGCCTTTGGCCAATGATTTAGCCACAAAATAAACAATCGCTTGGCTGTGAAATAAGCGCATTAAACAGACATAAATGGATCTGCTCAGTACTACGTCCGTATAATAAATATTCATTCAAACAATAAAAACAAATCGATTTTAACGCCCGCCATTTATGCGCAGTCGTGTGAAATTCCACACTCCGCACAATCGCCTATAATTATGTACATACTCGTACGTACATCCACATCCATCCAGTCGTATCTACAGCCTCGCAATTATGTGAGCCCCTCCGTGTGGGTTCCAGCTTCCCTTCCCCCAGCACTTGTTAGGCCTAACGAAAAAGCATTTGATGCATTTTTATTGCCAGCTATTCCCAGTGCACAATTTGCAATTTATTTTTGCAATTTAACACGCGATGCGAGGCTCGAATCGCAAAACGGCCCAAAGGACCCATGGGCAGGGAAGTGGGGGGGCCCGACGCGACTAAATTGCAACAAACTGCACAATAAATGGCAACTTAAAACGCCTGCCCCAACAACGAGCACCAAAAAAAAATTCAGTAGGAGTGCCATGGGTCGGGTATTCCCATTGTAAATACCCATTAATCAATTAGTTTTGTTAACTAAAAAAAGGATTATTCCATATTTTAAGGACTCTAATTATCCGACTAAAAAGTTCTGCAACGCAATCTTTGGCTAGTTACATGCTCTTTCAAGAATCTGCCATACCCTTGCCATTTACGAATACGGGGTATGCCGACAAGAATAAAAAGCCCCAACATCATGCATCGCAGCAATTGTTGCAAGAGCTGTTGCAGGCATTGTTGTTGCCGAGTTCGCGTATGTTTGCCTTGCTTTGCTGGTATTTCCATCTAGATATACTCGTATTCCCATGGATATGGACGTACGAGTACACCCACGTTTATTTCCGTTGGCAATTAAACGAAAATAACCGTTTGCCGCCGCTTTAATGGCAGTGGAGTGGGCCAGCAAAGGCAAAATGGCCGGGATGAATCTATGGAAAAACATTTATAACAAATGCCAGCAAATTGCCATAGAATACATAGATGGACACAGATACCGAGAAGATCCGATACAAACACGGAACGTACATGTGGACAGATGCTTGAGAGGGGTCGAATAGATTTGAACAAAGGGTTAATTTTAGTGTGAAGCTGATGGACGGTATTTACATATCTTTTAGCTGATATCCGTAGCGGAATAAGATTGGATCACAAAAAATTCAAATACAAACTCTTGTGTGTTTTCTATATGTTTATATATTTTATTAATATTTTGTTCATATGTATAATTTGTTATATGTATATTTATAAGCATTTCATGTGTGTTTTCATGTTTGTTTGTTTGAGTTTGGTTTGGTTTCTGTTTAGTTTTGGATTATCTTAACATTCGATTAAAATTAGAAATAATTTAACTAATTATTTGGTAGTTGCTTGACACATTGCGCCCCCCATCAATCCGTTCTCTGTTTACGAATAACACTTAACTAACAATCGTGGTAGCATATCGAGCTGCACTTACACTTGACCAGCAATTCAAAGATATCGAAGCAGAAACAAAAGGGGTTCAGAACTGCCCACACCCCACCTTTAATATAGGGTATATTTATATATGGTCTATGTACATGGTGGAGGGGGCCTTGGCTACGCTAAAAGCAAAACGCACGAACAATTTACAAGCCTAAATCTTATTGAGCAAGAGACACATTTACATTTACGTTTACTGGGCGTAGGAGAATAGTAGAGTAGTTGTGCGGGATTAGTCCCGCCCCGTCCCGCCCCGCCCTGTCCCGCCTGCCAGTAAGTAAGTATTTACAAGAGTTTTAGGAACAAACTATCAAAAACTTTTATAGATTTCGTTAGGGGATGTCAAGGGGGACTGGGGTAAGCCTTTACTTGGATTGCGTTGAAACCAATTGGTGTGGACTGTTGTTGGCCACGGTTATTCGGCCCGGCTCGTCTCAGTAAGCCTTCTGGTTCATCGATTTATCCGCATCTGCGGCAGAATCGGCAGCGGAAGAGGAAGTGGAAGTGGCCTCCATCGACTGAGTTGAGCCGGTGCCCAGACTCTCGTTGCGTTCCAGGCAATTGCCGCTCTTTGTGCTTACCTCCATCAGAGGCAGAGGCAGAGACAGAGGCAATGGCAGAGCTGGAGTCGATGACCCGATGGGAGTCGACTCGTGCATCGTTTCAGCCTCGTGCTCCTCATCGGCCTCGACATCGATGGCCGCATCGTCCTCGTCCAAGGCCATCTGCTCCTTCTCCCTCTCCTCATCCGAATCGGCGTCCATCGAGCAGTGTCTCAGCAGGAGTGGAGGAGCAGGCGTGCGCGGCGGCATCGGGGGCATTGCTAGCGCCATTGATGTGGGCGTTGGCGGCTTCATCAGCGACATGGGCGCCGCCAGGCACCCCACGCCCTATACAAGCGACGACAGCGGCGGCCGCGGGGGGCTGGTGTTGCGTGCGGCGGCCGCTGCATAATACTGCATCGGGTGGTGGTGCGGCGGCGGTGGCGGAACGAAGCCAGCTGTTGTCCCGTCGTGGTAGAGCACCGGGACACGCACCAGGCGCTGGGCCGCATGCGCCATGTTAGCCATGTTGGCGGCCTCCAGCTCGGCGGCCAGCTGACGCTTCCATTTGTTGCGACGATTCTGAAACCAGATCTTCACCTGGGTCTCGGTGAGGCGCAGCGAGGCGGCCAGACCGGCGCGCTCCGACGAGCTGAGGTACCGTTTCATGTCGAACGTGGACTCCAGCTGAAAGACCTGCGCCCGCGAGAACACGGTCCTCGTCTTCTTCTTGCGCTTGGAGCCATTGCCATCGCCATGCGGCGAGGAGCTGTCCGAGGGTCCATCCGTGCCGTCGTCCTCCTCGATGATCTCCTCGCCATCGTCGTCCGACTCATTGGAGCTGGTGGGCAGCATGTACCCGGAATGCGACCCGGCCATATGGTGCGGATGGTGTGCCAGGCCACTGCTGCCGCTGTTGCTGCTGGTGGGCGTGCTGGGCTGATGTGGATGCTGTTGGGGGTGCTGCTGCTGTGGATGCTGTTGCTGCTGCTGCTGTTGCTGGTGCTGGTGCTGGTGCTGCTGATGGGGCTGGTAGAGTGGGTGGTGGTGCGGGACACCCACTCCGGGCGGGGGCGACTTGCTGCTGGCTTGGCTCGACCCGTTCGTGTTGGCAGTGCTGCTGCTGTTGTTGTTGTTGTTGTTGTTGCTGCTGCTCTGGCTGGGGCTCATGGGGGTGGGCGAGGGGGGGTTCTCAGTGGTGTTTGTGGAAGAGCTGTCTGCAAAGAGGAAAAGAGAGATAGAGAGCGGGGTTAGTTGAGAGAGCGAGCACATTGGGGAGAGCAGAAATTGTATTAGTTGATTTGTCAGTCTCTTCAGTCGGCTTGGGCTTGGGGTTGGGGGCCTGTGGGTGGTGGATGGTGTGCACGAAGGCTGACGACTGGCTTCGGCTAAGGGTTGTTCCAAGATGTTGTCTCTGTGTGTGTATCTGTGTATCTGTGTGGCTGCACAGATTTAAGCTGCAACACTTAACCTCACACTTGTCTTTCCATTTTTGTTGCTTCTTTTTATATTTTTGTCCGTGTCATTTGTTATTGCTGCTCTACCGTAAAGCGCAGACGCGGAGAGCGCCGCGCCACATATCCGGTCCTTACTTTTCTATGTATGTGTGTGTGTGTGTGTGTGTTGGTGCCTGTCTGCGCGCTAAATTACCATTTAAAATGGCTGTCAGTCGGCTTGGCCGATTCTTTTTTTTATCGAAGCTTTTAGTTTTGATTTCATTTGAAAAGTTTATATTGCTGTAATTTGCCATGAAAGGATTCCATGGAGCAGAGCACAGAGAAAGACGAAGACGAAGTCGAAGTCAGAGGAGGGGCAGGGACCGGGGCCGGGGCGGAGTAAGAGTGGAAATGAAGGTGATGAACTTAAGGCCAATTTACATGAACAAATGTAATTGCAATGACTCTTAATGCCAAAAGGGCCAATTAAACGGGCTTAAACTACGGTTACTTCTACTGCTGCCACTGCTGCTGCTGCTTTTGTTGCAGGTTGCACTTTGCCAACGTGGAGCCCCAGCCACAGCAACAAAACATGTCAGACGCTTTGTCCGTAACTCGATACTCGATTACAAATTGCAATTAATTGAAAATGGCGATTAATGCAGTCGGTCTCCGCGGGTAGGCAGGAAGGTGCCGCTGTACTCTACATTCCATGGCTGCACTGAGCGAAATAAACGAGGATTCCGCTTGAGTTGTTTGAAATATGTATTTAAAATTGCCATAAATCTGCCAAAAACAAACATAACAAAGAACCAGTACTGCCTTTAAAAATCAAGGAAAATTAATGTTTTTATCGATTGTAAAGAGGACACCCGAAAGTGTACAAAACAATTGCGTAATTTAGATTTTACAAACCACTAAAGAGCCTATGATTTTATGGGTGAAGTTCTTCAGGAAAACCTCGAAAAATTGTGCTCATTGTTCTCTCTCATTCGAGAGTATCTTCTGCTTGTTATGATTTAAGTGTATTTCTCTCAGTGTACGTTTTTCTTTGGCTTAAGACATTTACGTAGCCTGCTTCTGGGGGCAACCTACAACATTCCTTAAGGCATTAGACCAGTCGTTAGGCCGCTGGCGTTGACTAAACAAATTAAATTGAATCGAATGCAACGAAATACTCTGAAGAATGTCTGACACGGCACATTCCTGACGAAAACAAAACTTGAAAACGACTAGTGTACGGTTGGAGAAGGGTCTGGGGGGGGAAGCGACTAATCCTCAGTGGCATGTGGCAATTGCCTCAGTGTTCAGTTCGCTTCAGTGGGTTCCGAGTGGTTCCTAACTCCGTTGGCTAGTATTTTAATCAACTTACCATGAGTGGGACTGTGGAACGGCAGGCGCTGTGGGGCCCAGGGCCAGCCGGGCGGACAGAGGGCTGCGTAGCGCCCGGCGAGGGCTCCCCATTGCGAAATGAAGCCCAGTCTGTAATGAAAGAGAAAAGAGGCGCACACGCAAGACGTTGGTTGGTTAATAATGCCATCAATTATGCAGTCTAATCATTGCTGCAAAATCAGAGGATAAATATTCAGGGCCCAAAAATAGCTGCCAAGATGCGGGCTCGGGCTCTTAGGCCATTAGGCATTTACCGGAGCATTTGCCGACGGCCAAAAGTTGTTCGGGGCTAAGAAAGTTGAAGAATCAAAGTTTGTCGGCTCGTCTGACGAGGGTAGAGGGGAAGGGCGACCCTTAAATGGCGACGACCAACCCCATAACTGGCAACAGCTGCTGCGAATTTGGCTCTCGCCCAACCGCCCAATCCTCCCCCTTTGGATGTGTCTTTCTGTGTCTGTGTGTGTGTGTGTGTGTGTGTGTAACCTTGTTAACTTTCTGGCTTAAAAGCATCTTTATAAATACGTTTTATTTATTTATGCTGGCATCGACCCAGAAGTTCGCTAGACGAAACACTTTTACGTTATAATGTGTTCCAGATTCGTTTACACGAAACTTCCGGGTGGGAGGGAGGTCCTGGGAGAGGAAGTAAATCAAAGTTTACATGTCAGACCGTTTCAGGCAGAAGCCAATGTCTTAAGTGAATGCTGTTGTGATTGATTTATTGATAGTCGGTTGTATCTGAATGGTATTCGGTTTGGTTCTCATTGCCGTTCCTTAAGCTTCTTCCCACGCACCCAATGAACTTTGGTGTTTCGTTTACCATGAGCTGCACGAAATGCGAATGCAATTCTCACCAGTCTAAATTGCTACCCCTTTCTCTGGTCTTGGGCCCGTTTTTCGTTCTCACATTCCCCTCTTTTACAATAACGTTCTCTTGGGCTAAGCTCCCACCCAATCCCAGGCCCAGCCCCAGCCCCTAGCCAATGCAAACTTTGACCGTTTGGGCAAGTGACCCGTGCACAGACTGTGATTTCTTTTTACGGGCAACCCAACCCCACTCAGACAGACAATGCAACCAGGGGAGGCAAGTCGACCATGTCTGTGTGTGTGACATTAACATTTAGTTGACCTCTTTCGTTGCGGCCAAGGGTGCATCAGGTGTGGAAATCAATAGCCAGAGCTGCCCACTCTCTTCGTTTAAGCCCTGTTTTTCTCTTGCCTCTCGCGCCGGCAGTAATGATTTTCAATTAAGTTTACTTTCAGCCCAGGGAAATTATGAACCGGCCCCAACTGCTGGCCCAATCCCAGAGAAAACGCTTCAAGGGCTTCCCCCAAGTTGCCAGCTCAAATCACTTCTAATGGGCTTCATGTTTACAGCGTCAATTGAGAGAAAGCCGCTTTGCCTTTTGGCTAGTTTGGCGGAAGCCAGAAGCCAGACCCCAAACAAGCAGCAAGAAGAAACCAAATGCTGCTCAAGTTACTCATCTGTCAGCCTGGGCCTGGGCCAGGGCCTGGGCCTGGGCCTGGAGGCAGCCAGACGACAAGAGACAAAAGAAATTACCTCAATTACTGGGCTAATTTTTAGGCTGTTTCCCCACAGAAAAAAAAGCAACAACAACAACAACATGGAAAATCAGAACACAGAAGCGTTGTAGCTATTTGCTTAACTAATTACAGAAATCAAGAGCTTGACTCCCGTAATGAAATAAATACGGAATAAATGTGCCCGCGGCCACTGCGGCCACCGCGGACAGCCGACCGACCTCCGTTCGGGTGTCACTCTGCGGCGGAAGTGGACGGCCATGTTTTAAATTGGAGTTGCGGGGCCGCCCCCCGTCCACCACGGCCAGCACCCACTTCCGACAGCTGTCAGAACTGGGCGCGGAGGGGGAGGGTATCTGCTGTGATGCATTTGCTGTTATTTAGCTTTTAATGAATTGTTTGCGGTTCTCGCTTTGGGCCCTCAGCTGTCATAATTCTCCGTCTTGGGCAACCTTTTGTCCAAGGGATAAAAGTGTGCTATGCAATTGAGTTGTTCAACATGGCGTTCAACATGGGGTCCATCCCCATTTTGGTTGGGGTTTCGGCTCGTCTCGATTGGGGTTTTTGTCAACATCTTGCCAGGAATCTTTGATGTTGACGGAGAGACTTTGGCGCGGCTCGGCCTGAGCTGAGTATGGGGTTTCCCATTGTATAGAGAGATCTGAGTAAAGTTCAAAGTGATTTTGTTGAATGGCTCAAGTGTGGATTCCAAGTAAATTGTGGCAATAGCGGGAATTAACTAATTCATGCCACAGCCAAATCTGTGGCAGAGTTAACCCGCACATTTCATCAAAACAGGGCAGGACAAGGCCAGGGCAGGGCAGGGCAGGGCAGGGCAGGGCAGGGTAGACAAAGCGAATTACAGAAATTAATTTAAATAAATAAATTTAAATGGAACTGTACAGGAGAGTGATCTCTATGCCCGGCGGGGCCTGGAAACCGCTTAGGAATCGTTCATGCATAGCAGATTTGCGCACTCTAATTGGTCCCTCCTGTGCGGGACTTCCACATCCCATATCCCAATGAATACGAATACGAATATATGAGTGGTATATTCACATCGTTGACATTTCGAACGGGTGTGCTGGTACTGAGAGGTACTCGACCTAGCCGCAGAAGTAGGCAAAATATTGAACACTTGAATGAACCAGGGGCAGGGACAGCGGACAGCGGACGGGGGACAGGGGCAAATGCTTTTGTCATTAAACAGGATTAGTGTGCAAATATCGCCCAATATTCGTGTGCCTGGAGAGCGGCTTAGTCTGAGCTACTTGCCACAAAAAAAAAATATGAAATCATGAAAAATGGTGACATTTGTGAAGAGCTCGAAATTAGTTTCTTTTTTGGGTGGCAACGCCATGGGAAGCCCGACCAAATGACACGCGACCCGGTCGGATGGAACAGAGGGAAAGTCAAACCTCAGATCTAGATCTGATGACAGAACTGTGGAATATGTTTTGATTAAGGCACAGCCATAGAAATATCATCTTGATAAGGCCGAGCAGTGCGCACGGGAATCAAACGGCAGTCGCCACCACTAAATGCCGCAGTACGATAATCCCCTCTGCGTCAGATACGACTGTATAGATAGGATTGGTTGGGTCCTGATTCCTGTTTCCTTTTTATCCGTTCCCGTTACGATTGCCATTGCAATTGGATTGTAATTACTTTGGTGATTGTGTATGTGTGTATGTATGTAATTATAATGTCATCGTCTGCTTTTTGCGTCATCCTTGGAGAAAAGAACAATGCCAGGGGGTGAGAGGGTGAGAGACAGAGAGCACCCTTTCCGTTTGGTTCTGTTTGGTCCGTTGGTCCTTTTGTTTCCCGTCTACTCACAAGCATATCAGGTTACACCTCTTCTTGAATGCTTTTCCCCGCCCATCCTTTCCCCCCCGCCTTTGGTCGAAGGTAAAGCGTAATTAAGTAAACGCAATTGCAGAACAGGGAGACAGAGAGAGAGCTACCAAAAAAAGCATTCCCGACTAATTAAAAACGTAAGCGCAACTGTCAAAATAATTCTGGCACAAGGTGAAAGTGCCCTCAAGCCATTAAACGATCATTCAGCAATATTTGTGCTGCCAGGCATTAATCATACCGAACCGAGCCCAAGTTCGATGATCAAGCGATAAGGCAGTCACAGAGGCAGCCACACGTCAGCTGGGGCAAGCGCCAAGCGCAGCAGGAGTCGACACTTGGACGAGGGCGAGATCGGATCCTTAATTGGGGTAAGCCGAGAACGAGCACGGGCCGCAGGAGCAGCGACCCTCGCACAACCTGACATTCCTTATCGACCAGATCAGCGGCGCGAGCACGCGTAAATGAAATGAAAATGATCATTATTAAAAAAACGCTGGAAGACCCAAACGAGAGGGAGTGAGTCCTCCCTCGGTCGAGTCCCCTTTCTTTGTATTTCTGATCCGAGTTCATAAAATAAAAGTGCAACACATTCGTAAAGTTGTGTTCTCTTTTTTTTAATTCAACACATGCCTTAATCGAGCTGCCTGGAAATTCGATCTCTCATTTGGTATGCAGCATTTTGAAAGCCGACTAAGTGGGGTTAACATGCCAAGCCATATAGACAGACACATATTTTTCGGTTTTTTTTATCAATAAACTGCAGTTTTGGGTCATAAACAGCTGTAGGAACAGGACCCTGTTTGTAGGTCACTTTCGGTGCTGAGGGTTCATTCATTCATTTTGCATATGATACCGGAGCATTGTCAGTCTGTCAATCAGTCAGGCACTCGGTAAAATTCATTCACAAACACAAAAATTGTGCATTGAATTTCATTAAGGCAAATGGTTATGTAACTCGATATGCTGGCCAGATCGAAGGGCCCTTAATCGATGTCCGACCGGTTAAGCGCCTTTCTGGACAAATTCGAGGTCAGCTAATGGCGATTGCAGCACAATCGATTTTTTCGAATCGAATCTAATCGAACAATAGACTCCTGCAGCCATTTGCATCCTTCAGCAACTACTTAATGTCTCGTATAACATTTACCCAACATATTTTCAGACTTATCGGGTCCATCGTCGCATCTCCCAGCTACTTATTTTGTGTCTTTCCTGCGAAGAGATTTGTGTCACCTCCCTTTGTCCCAGACGATTATACAAAATTGGCCCAACCAAGATTGAGGGAACAAGTGAAATTGTAGCCTCATTGAAGCAGAACGTTTGACTTTTTGGTTTCAGGTTGGTTCAGAGGATCCTAATCTGGGTCTTTGTCTGAGTAGCTGAGCCTAAGTAGCTGGCCTGGCCGAATGTTTTCAAATATCTTCTCGGACCTACCTGGAGAGCATGGCTGCGTCCTGGGGCCCGCCAGGACCCGGGTGTGGCAGTTGCGGGATCGGCGTTATCAGCGTGGAGGCGCCGTTTTTCTTGGCCGGCTCGCTGCGGCTCAGGATGCTGGAGATGGAGAAGCTGGTGAAGCCGTTCGATCCCGTGGTGGCCTTGTTCCCGTTACTGCTCCCATTGCTGTCGTTGCTGTTGGCTCCAATGGAGGCCGCCGCGGCCGCCGCCACCGCTGCCGCCGCAGCCGAGGCGCAAGTGTTGTTGTGGTTCAATGTCTTGCTGTTGTTGTTGTTCAGGCTGTGCCCCTGCAGCTCCTCGCAGCCATTCCGCTCCGGCGACTTGGGCGGCGGACTGAGTCGTTCCCCAAGCTGCTGCTGTATGTGCTGGTGGTGGGCTGTGGGGGTCAGGGCGTGCTGCAGCAGTGCGGGATGTGTGGCCGGATGTCCGGAGTGCAGATGGCCGAAACTGTGCAGCGCGTGATGCAGGGCCACCGGATGGCCGCCCAGCGTGCTCAGATGATGTTGCAGATGGTGGTGCAACACCGCCGGCGGCACGGCCCCTCCATTGGGACTGTGGTGGTAGTGGCCCGTTGTGGCCGCCGACGAGGATGTGGGCGTGCCGGCGGCTGTGTTGGGCGTGGAGCGGTGCGTTGGGGTGGCCGGTGGCGTGCTACCGTCGGCGGAACGAGCCGGCGAACGCTCCAGCGGACTATCGCGGCCGTTGCTCATTCCGGCGGCACCCAAGGGACTCGGCTCGGGACTGGACACCACACTGATATCGACTTCGGCCTCGGAGGAAGACATGGCACTTGTTTTTGGTAACTTAGTTCTTAATTTACTTAAACACACTTCAATCTAATCTTTTCCACCAGTCTATAGTTCACTCAATGAAACTGCGGGCCAAGTGCCACGAAAATCTGTGGTTGTTGAGGAAAACGGAGATTTTCCGCAGGCGAGCACAACCGAGAGACAGAGAGACACGTCTGCACCGTTTGATCAACGTTTCGCATTTAAATTCAAATGTTTCTGTTAACAGACGCAAAAGTCCTCGACAGGGTCTCAGTCCTCCGTGTCCTCTGCCTGTTCCTCAGTCTATGCATTGGTGTATGCGTGTACGTGTGTTTGTATGTGTGTGTGTGTGTGTGTGGGAAAGCGATCGTTTAGTATTTTTATTGTTTCAGTCTCTAGATTTTTAACCCCCGGTCTCGTGTCCGTGTCCGTGTCCGTGTCCGTGTTTGTGTCCGGAGAGCTGCCTCTGCCTGCTGCTGCGTCGCGTCGCTCGACTGAAACTGAAACCCACTGAGGTGGTTGGTTGGCTGCCAGCTCTGGAAATTCTTTTGGTCTTTGCGCTAAATGGTTTTTCACCAGTTTACAGCACACACACACACACACACACACACACGCAGAGAGAGATCCAGAGCCATGGCTAAAGTGCGTGTGCTGAGAGCGTGATATACCTGTGTGTCTGTGCTGCTACCCCTCTGGGAGGGTGTGTCCCACTCTCTCTCTCTCGCACTCTCTCACCCAGTCTCTCTCCCTCTCTCTTTTTCTCTTTCTGTGGCTCGCTCTGTCTCTCTCTCTGGCAGGGTTGTTGCTTGCTTTTGCTGCCTTCTCTTCCTTTTTCCATTCCACTTGCAACTGGGAACTTCTTTTCGTTTATTTCGACAATTGCACTGCAACCGCATCGACAGACACTTTTTCTGTGGCAGGAGCAAAAAGCTTGAAAATTGCCAAGAAGGAGCAGAGGCAGGAGCAGAGGCAGGGGCAGGGGCAGAGGAGCAGCAGCAGAAGGCATAGAAGAAGCAAAGTTTCCATTCGAGCCAGGGAAACACTTGGCATTTGGAACATGCCTAAAGTGAGGGCGCACTCGGCTCGACTTTCGAGATACTCGTTCGTATACACGGTGTGGATGTGGGTGTGAGTGTGGGTGTGGGTGTGAGTGTGGGTGCAAGTGTGTGTCTATTGAAATGCCAATATAAAATCAATCAATTGCCACCTAACAGAGGTCAAGTGCTGCTCTGTGGCGCCATTGAAATTTTCCTGTTGCCGCCACGCAGCAGCACACAGCAGATGGGAACTTTTTTGACCAGAAGTGTTGGGGAATACATGTTTTAATTGATTGCAACTTTGCGGTTAACTGTTTGAGTGGATGCATTTGTATCGAAAAGCGAATCAAGCGGATCAAGTGACGTGTGTTCCGGGATTTAGGGTATTGAAAAGGCTTAAAATCAAAATAAATGAACAATAGAATTATACAAAACAAGCGCAATTCATATAATATTCATACAGCCATCAGAATATATCATGGGTGGGGTTTATTCCATTTGCTATTTCATCTATGATAGTATGATAGTTTCCATTCTAAAATTCTACATCTGAAAAATTTCGAAACGAAACCAAGTCTTCTATCACCAGAAGTATCTCCAGTTTATGTACATATATTTTTATTTTATTACAATAAACAAATAAATAACTTTAAAATTACATTCATTATCCTTTTCAGATTGTATAAAGCAGTATCGTATACAAATAAGAAGATGGATATGCTGTATCCCACATATGTATTCGAATTTCCATATGAGAGCACTGCCTCGTAATAAGGACCTTCCCTACTTCCAATCGCCTTTGAAGTACATTTACATATGACCCAAAACGACTTCTCAAGCAGAATTCTCTTCTCTCCCAATGCCGGACATCTTCGGAGCTTAATGCACTACTGTGTTCCATTCCACGACGTTCCGCTCTACGGGGAGAGAAACCTCCCTCATGGGCACACCATATACAGGCGGCCATTTTTACAACTGAGCGCTGCACAAACGGAGTGGAAATGAGATGAAAACTTTGCAGGCGAAGAGAGCGCATCTGGGACAGAGAGAGATGGAGATACCGAGAGAGAGAGAGAGAGGCAAATTGAATTTTTAAATGCTTTCGCTTTTTATGAGACAACCACGAAGCATTCAAAGAGTGTTGCAAACGATTTGCCCGAAACAAAAAAAAACATTAGGCGAGTCAATTACACGGAGAGAGACACGCCAAAAGAGCGAGAGAGTCTTTCTCTCCACTCTCTTCCCTTCCCTCCCTTTCCGTGTGTCTCTCTCTCTTTCTTTCTCTTGCCCTGTTTCTCTGGGAAGGCGTGGCCAAGTCGGGGGCCAATGAGATGGCCCGATTTGGCCAGTTCTGGCGCTGAAGAACACTCAGCGACGGCAAAAACGAATCGAGACCAAAACGAGATAAAAGTTGAAACATTTCCAGCTCAGACAGCGATGCCGAAATATGCGTAGAAATTCATGCGCAATTACATTTATCCTGTTTAGAAGATTGCTTTTGGCAAAGTGCGTCTCCTCCAAGTGATGACACGGCAACCCCTATGCCCCATACCCTACATCCAACACTCTTCCGAGCCAGTGGGAGGATGGGCATCCGTAACACATTTTCCCATCCGAATTTCCCACTGTGCATTGCTTGGTTTTGATTCGTTTTTGTGTAAGTATTTATGCGGATAAAAGGGGGGGTGTCGCCGGGTTCAAATAGTTTCCGACACTTAGGCGTTGTCCCACTTCCGTTTTGGACCCCAATCCTCCAATGGAAATTGCGTTTGTGGTTGTCTTCTTTCCCCAGCGAACTTCGCTTTGCATTGATTGCATTGCATTTGGGCCGAATATGAAAGGGCAACGGGCCCGGAACCACCCGGGAACCCACACCGTGCCACACACGGAAACAACCGGAGAGAGAACCCATTAATCTCAATCCCTGACCACTGGCCGGGGCAAGCCACAAAAATTCCAAAAGCTCTTTTGCTTGGAACATTTAAAAGAAATAACAAACTGCTCAACTGTCGGACAAAACGATTTCTACAACAAATTGCACTGCAATAAAAGCAGTGCAGAGAGCGAGAGAGAGAGAGAACCGATAGAGAGAAAGCCGAAAGAGATGGACAGAGAGAAAGTAAAAGAGCCGTAAGCAATGCAGACAACTTTGCCAGTGTGTATGTGTGTGTGTGTGTGGCTGTGTGTGTATGTTTTTGAGCGTGTCTGTGCATGCTAGGGGCCCAAGGAGAAAGCGGCTCTAATTGACGTACGAGCAAAGTGGGAGTTGCAATTTTCATTGACTCCACTTTAGTTTTCCGAGCCACACAGCAGGCAGAACGAGCCCGACACACACACACACACACACACAAGCGAAGACCCACACTAGCACAGCTTTGGATGACGAGAGAGGAGAGCGATGCGATGCGATGCGATGGAGAAGAGCTTGCTCGACTTAACTGCAATTAATTTGGCAATTGAAGCTGGCTCTCACAGAACTAACATTATCTCACCCTCCCGAGACACACTCTATTTCCATTTGGGAATTTGGAAATTTTGGGAGTTTCGATTTTCAAACCCAAACACACACACACACAGACACACACACATTCAGCAAATGGCCGGTGAGGTGGCCTTTGTTTGTTTGTTTGGATAGCATTTTGCATAATAGGCGAAAAGCATGCCGAAACAATAAACGTGGAGTGGACATGGCAGGAACCAGAATGAATGAATGACTGAATGAATGGCTAGAATGGAATGGTTAAAAGCAAATGGAGTTGTAGGCCCCACCACCTCCCACACACTACACTATACCATACCATGCCATACCATACCATACCCATACCCACCCATCACATCATTATCATCCTTTTGGCTATTTGCGGCTATTAGTCAGCTAAATTTGTGTGACGCGCTATTCCTTCGCTTTTGGGGCTTGGCTTTTGTCTTCTTTCAGAATGCAGAACAATGGCGCGGGGCGGGCATGGCATGGAAATATGAAAGCGCACCGAAGTGGAGCGCGAAGTGGGGGCGGAACACACGCAAAACCAGCAAAAACCCATCGAACCAACCCATAACCAGAGCCGGCAGGACCCACCCCAAAAACCACCTACGACCAACCACCCACCAACCCCACAGTGCTCGTAAATAACGCTTTAGACTTTGATTTAAATAAATTGTATTGCGAACGGTAATATTTTATGATTTCAACAGTTCAACAGTTTCCGTTTCCGTTGCGTTCCGTTCCGATTTTTTTTTCGCTTTTCTCCACCTACCCCCCTACCCTACCTCCATATATGTATCCCTTTCTGGCCGCCCTGATTGAGCGCCATTTCTGGGCGCATAAGTTTTCGAGTGTTGGAACATTTTATGTTCCTTCAAGAGACCAAAATACATTTGTATATAGAGCACAGAAAAGCAGGCAATCAATTGAAATCTAAATATAAAATATTAAATGGGAAATGGGGAAAAGGGAAAACTTTGGCCAGAATATAATTCCCTTTCGGTCTGCAAGCATTTCTAATTAAACCGACAAGTGCAGAACAGAACACGAACAATGGCCAAAAGCATTTACGGTTTTGATTTTAAACAATTATTTTGTATTATTCACAATCAAGAGAACGCTATCGAGCCTGACCATCCGACCAGCAACCGTCCGTAGACCATACAAAGGGACCGCCAACAGTATAAAATTACCAATTTGCAGCAGAATCGGACTTGAGGCGGGGGGAATCTGTTGAGAAGAGGCTGGGCGAGCCCGACAGCGACTCACAACAGAGAGAGAGAGAGAGAGAGACAGAGGCAGAGACAGACAGAGAACAACGATTGTTGTGCGAATTGAATCCTTTTGCCTGGCAGTACTCTTGGAAATCAAGGGCGTAGAACCAGCCCCCGAGGTCCGGGGAGGGACGAATCCGATATGGCTCTGTGGCCAGCACAGCGTCGGAAAATTGACAGATAAATTATTGGTTTAATTTGCTTGGCCCGAGGGTAGGGCGCAAACGATCTGTGAAATGGAAATAAGGAGGAAAACTAATAATAATTGTGTACTTGGGTAATATAAATAGATAATATAAATATATTGTGTATCAGTCCTGGACGGATAACACTTTTAAAGACAGAGAGAGAGAGAAGTTTCTGGTTATGTAAAAGATGAAAAAAGCGACGAACTTCAAACAGTTTCCCTATATATTGGAATATATGTATGTATGTGT